ACCATTTCTCTGAACAAACAGCTAACGTGCGACTAAACGCAGATAATCCAAATGGTGCGTCCCTTTGTGCACACTTGCCGCATTTTGCGACTTAATATAAATATATGAGCCCAAAGGACAGACGATAAAACTCTGGACCCGGTCAAGATAATTTCGGACAATTTAAGCTCGTTGGAAAGGAGAGACGATGAACAAGTGTTTAATTGTTCAAATAGACGGCCAGTAATTCCCACAATGCTTTACCCTCTCTGTATGCCTACTGTGTGCATGTGTGTGTGCTGGAAATGGCTTTAATTATAAGTGGAAAAGCTGACAGCAGATAAAGTACTTGCAATTTGTCAAATTTTTACTGCCCGAAATGGTTACTCGTTTGCGTAATAACGTTTTTTTTTCGCGGACCCTTTTATTTAAAGCCTTAGACTTGAATCGCGCCGTATCGGTAGAAATGGGCCATAGAGAAGGATTTATTTTGAATCCTGAAACCGAAAAAGTCTGTTAATTTTCGGGCAGTTTTTCAATTGAATTTCTTGAGTAAAGCGTTTTTTAACATTAAGAGACTTAAATGTTTTCGCTAAAGTTTCACATGAGCCTGTTCATTCGCATGATTGATGTTGTGTGTTGTATAGAGAGGGATTTACAAAAACAACTAATGCACAAAGAAATCTTTTCAAGTTCTGAATCACCTTCGTGATCTGAGCATTATAGTCAAGAAACCGACACCTGAGTATATCGAAAAATTTAATATAGCATTCCTGACTGAATGATAAAACAAGTTACTGAACCAAAACATCGGATCAGCAGCAGAAGAAGCATTAGCCTAATCTTTCATTGCTTCGGCACTATATAAGGACGCCCTATTTTGTATGAAAAAGCCACTTGATGGTTGATTTTCACATTTATTTCCTTGCCACTGGTATCATTCCAGTTATAGATAAAAAGCAATACAGTTGACTTCTGAACTCGCCTTCATTAGTTCAGCAGGTGAAGCGAAATACCATCTCGTAAACAATGTGAAACAGAATAAATCACTCACTACCGAGATTTTCTGGCATTTCCTTCGGGAATGTGTAGGAGAAACGAATTGTATAAATGTATACGAGATAAACTGCGTCGTTTTCTATTTTGCTGTTTGTTGCATTGAATGGAATTGCCGATATTCTATATATTCGGTCTGTCGTTCAACAAACATGCGATTCCAATTCAGCAGCTTTGGTAAATGGATTTGGAATATTAAATTTTTCCGGGTTGAAAGTCGGCAAAAGTTCGCAACCATTAAGCCGCAATTACAATGAAATATTTAGCGAGCTGTGACGCAGCTAAATTGCCATTTGCCTGAAGCAATTTCATCCTAAACTGTTGGAGGTAATCAATAATTATTGCTTCCTCAATTATCCCATAAGCAACTAAGTAATTAATCAAACATTACGAACATGTGCTGTGTTATCCGAAGACAAAGCGTTTCCTCTGAGTTGGATTAGTTCTGTTTGATTTTGTTAATGTGTCTACGATGTTTCATTAGGTAATTATTAATATACACGCGCACAATTTTTTGCAATCTGTGTATCTACATTTATTATTATGGATCTAACCGGAAAATGTTGATAAAATGGCCCTTTTTCGCAATATTGTTGGAGCTAAAGTTGCACTAAAAAAGCAACATTTGTTTGGCTTCCATGCACAGTAAAAGCCCATTTGCCTTTTATAATGTACGTATTTGTAGTGAAAAAGATGATAAACAAATGGCACAAATCTGTTAGCTGATCCCGTGTTTCAAATGGAAAAGGTTCTAAATGGAAGTCGAACATATTTTCTCTTTTCTTTTATTTATTTCTGCACAACTGGACGGATAATTAAAGAAAGATGTCTAGGGAAATATTGGCAATTTTCACAGAAAATCGGAAATTCAACATTGTCATGACCCTCTTTTGTGCTGCCTAGTTCATGTCGACTAACGATAATTTTTTCTAATTTCATAGGTAACAAAAGACTGAATTTCCATTACCTCAGACTTGAAAGCTGAATCCGCCGCTGCTCAATGTTTGAGCCTTGGTAAAAACTACTGGAATTTCCTCACTTATGTTCTTATGATTGAATCGTGTTTTTAATTCTCTATCCAACGATGCCACAATAAATTATGTGGCTTAAATGGGGCTTGAGAAACTTGAATGAAGGAATGAGGCTTGAAAAAAGCAGCGTCATGTTTGAGTCGATTTTGCAACTCACGCCAATCTAAAACTTCTTGAAATCAAGAGTTTTTTGAGAAAACTGCCAACATTTCTTTATCGGTGGTTCACTTTCTAAAAACTCCATTTAGTTCTTTCTGTAATGATAAAAATGAGCGTTCTTGCTTATTTTGCTTCCGAGAAATGAGCAAAAATTGACGAAAAATTATCACACCTTTGTCTGAATTGATATCTTTATGTTGTCGATTGCTCCTATTTCGTATATGCAGATGCAAATTTGTACTCTTTGGCAACGTTATTCCATATGTCAAGCAGATATTTCATCTCCTATTCACTGAGCTCTATTGTGTTCTGAATTCACCACTTTTACTAACTTTTTAAGGTTTCGATCGATGGTGTTCAGCTTAGAACTTACCCCTAGATGATGCGGAATTTGAACTGGATGCTGAGGTGGATCGATAGTAAGGAGGCGAGCCGGGAGGTTCTGGTTTGGACAAGTTCGCAGTTGATTCCATTCTCCTCGTAACATCCGGAGCTGGAGCGAACATTCTTTCATCCTAAAAACGAAGAAACAATTCATCAAAATTTTTTGCTGCAAATTTGCTAAATCAAATCCTTTCTTTTTTTGGTCCATTTGGTAAATATTCATAATTCGGAATGGGAAAAACACCAGGATGGTTTTTCATCGGACTTAATAAAATATTCCTAAATAATCCCATTTGGTTTCAATTTAATTATTTTTGCAGATCCCGTTTTGCATTCTGGACTGAAGCAAATATACATTTGTTCATTCGGGACAGGACTAAAAAACATTATTTAATTTACAGAACCAACGAACATCGAAAAATTCTGAAACTCATGTTT